CTTCCCCTTCCTCCTCTTTTTGGCCGCGTCCTTTTCCCTCGCTCTCTTTTCCTTCGGGCACCCCTTCTCTCTGTTCTCCCACTCCTTCTCCTCCTCCTCCTCCTGTCTTCCTCCGTGCCGGGTCCCCGAATGCGGTAAGCAAGGCTGGCATCTCCCTTAGGAAGCGTTGCAGATGCCGAGCACGTTCCTGCTCGGGATACAGGTCTCGGTAGGGAACTATAAGAATCGATGTTGCACGTTCCTGCCTTTCGCTACCATTTCCCCTGTCTTCTCTCATGGCCGTCTCCGCCACGTCCTTCGTGACAGAGGGAGAGGGTCCTGGACAAGAGCCTTCGCTATTACCGCCGCCAGGGATGCTGTTGCTGGTAGCGTCGGGCCCGGAAAGCGTCGGAAATGTTCCAGGAAGGGACGACTGCGGCTGTTGCTCTTGTGGTTGCCGATTTTGCCCCGTGTCCGTGTCGCTAGCACAGGGGGGGCGGGGTTCAACTGGCGCGGGCATGACCTGAAATGTCCAACCTGTCTTTTTGGGGACGAGTCTGTGGCTTGACGGGAATCCCTTTACCGTGAATTTGTTTTCTTGATAGATATGTTGCCATGTTGAGTGTCAATTCATTCACTCGTATTGTTGTGACTAGAAGGGAGGGAACGGGCCGGCCGCACGGAAGCCAAAGGAGAACCGTTTTTCAGACCATGTTGCCAACGTAAAATCCTTTATGCCGGCCACGAGAAATCATCTCATCTCATATTTCTTATTTTACCCATCACACAGCCTTTTTGGGGAACCCTCGGGCCCTCTCAGCGTCCTGAGTCCCCCACCCATACGTGGCAAAGCCATCCCCGTTAACCTCCCCCCCCTGGGCCATCCATGTGCCTGTAACGCTTGCACGAACACGCCGAGCACACGGCATTCGCAGCGTTTGCCTCGATTCTTGGCTATCGGCTCCTGTATTTTCTGTTACTGCTTAACGAAAAAGGGCCCAGTTGCTTGCACTCGGTCGCCACGGAGCTCCCACCCGAGGCCTCCGTCCTACGACCCCCACGTCGGGCCTCCCGTGCAAGCACGCGTGGCATACGGGCAGACTCAAGAAGCATTTCGTACACTCATATTGACAAGATTGAAGGATGCCTCGGTATCTAGTCACTTTCGTGTATCGTCTGCTCGATTTTCGATTTGCGGAGTTGGATGCCATCCTCGATATGCTCTGCCTGGACCCCGCCGCTGTGTACGCTCCTTCCCCCCCGGAAATCAGGCTCAACAATTACTCACACCTATTCGTTGACCTCCCTTCTGAGGCCGTAGCTGTAGAGATCCAACAGCGGGCCGTTCTGGTCGAGAGCGTCCTGGAGCTCTGGGGTGAGGGCCGTACCTATGAAGAGTTGGACGCCAGCCTGCTGTCCCTCTCCGACGATTTCCTCGCCCCTTACATGCGGCCGAAGATGACCTGGTCGTTGATGGTGGCGGGCTCGGGCAAAACCCTGAGCATGGCTGCCCAAGACACTGCCCGCTACCGTGTCCTGGCCTCCATCCCTTTCCCGGGGCCCATTCAGTTGAAGCAGCCGCAAGAGACTTTCTGGCTGATCGACCACGTCGCCAACGACACCGACCCGACGCCCGACCACCTCTACTTCGGTCGCGCCATCACCTCCCGGGCTTCCCGTGGCCGGGAGCGTGTCGGGAAAGGGGACTTGAAGCGGCGGGCTTATCTGGGACCGACCTCTCTGGACAACGAACTCGCCCTGCTCATGGCGAGCTTCGCGCAAATCCGACCCGGAAGTATGGTGTTGGACCCTTTTGTGGGCACGGGCTCTATTCTGGTGGCCTGCACCCAGTTTGGGGCCTTTTGTGTGGGCACCGACATCGACATCCGGGTCTTGCGGGGGAAGGAGGAGGGACGCAACGTCTATGCGAATTTCACCCAGTACGGGCTACGCTACCCGGAGCTGGTTCGGAGCGACAACGCGCTGTATGCCGGGCACTTCCGCCAGGTGGCTCTGTACGACGCCATTGTCTGCGACCCCCCCTACGGGATCCGGGCGGGGGCTCGGCGTTCCGGCAGCCGTCGGGAGCAAGTGCGGCCTGTGCCAGCCCATCTCCGAGCCGACCACATCCCCCAAACCAGGCCCTACCCGATGCGCGACGTGCTTGACGACCTCCTCCAAGTGGCGTCGACCGCCCTGAGGGCGGGAGGGAGGTTGGTCTACCTGCTTCCCTGCGAGGTAGGGCCCGAGGCCGGGCCTGAGGAAGGGGTGGTTCCTACGCACGAAGCGCTGGACTTGGTGTGCGTGCATGAGCAGAAGCTGAACACCTCCCCAGATCATAGACGTCCGGGCGG